AAACACTAAAGCTATCCCTTATCCTTACTCCAGACACAAAAGCTAACCTATGGGCGGGGCCTCACTTTGCCTGTGCACGTGGGGGTACTGTTATGCATTCTCATCAACGACTGGGACAAGGCGGAGACTGCAGTCATATGAAAAGTCTAATATCAAGGCAGTTCCCCGACTCAGAGGTGAGCACTGTGGGAAGTAAAAATACAGAGTTCCTCTGAAACACGGTGTCCCATAACATTACCCACTATAACTTTAGTAGTTGTTTCATTAAGAGGGACACGTGGAGCCTGTTCCCACTCCACCAGTACAGCATACCTCTATTATCTCCTCCCGGAAACAGAATCAGGTCCCTCTGGGCACATAGCACGGACCTTATACTGTACATGTTCCATGTTATCGCCTTAATTTCCATACTTCGGGGCTAGATCATGGATCTCCAGAACACTGGCCTGCTCCCGGTTGCTATGGGAGGTGGGCTGCTCAGGAGGGAGCCAAGGCAACCACCCCCTTGCTACTGGAGGACCTTCCACCCTCCAAGGTACCACACCTAACGACTGGTTGCTTTATGACTTGAACTTGTACATTGCAACTGCATCACTCTCATTGACTGGCTGAATTAACCCTGTTTGCATTGTGTAACTTCATACCCCCTTGTGCTGGTTCCTCTGGATATGCCAGAACCATCATGCACCCCTTTGAATAACTTCAAACCAAGCTCCAAACCGTTAATGTAACTTTCACTGCCAAAACTTCAGTCATACAGTGCAATGTGAACATTATAAATCCCTGGCACACTAGACATGTGCAAAATGAAAACATTTGTTTTAAAGTGTTTTAAAAAAGGCGCCACACCCTCTAACTCCAAAGCAGCAAATTCCTAACTCAAAAAATCAAAAAACTTTTTTGCTTAAACAAATAAATAAAAGGAATGCACTAATTAAGTAAATAATACAAAGTGAATATGAGAAAAACTATAAAATATAAAATAATTTTTTTTTAAAAATAAAAATAAAAAATTATGCAAAAAATTATGCAAAAAAAGTGTCCATAAATAATGTCCAAAAAAGATTTTTAATTAATGTCCACACTATGTTAGAACCACCACCAAAAAAAATAAATGTTTTTAAATCACCCAACTGAGCTCAAAAAATAATAAAACAAATACCTTTTTTGCTCTGGGCATTTGTTTTGTTTGTTTCAATTCGTTATTTGACTAATTTTGTTTTGTTCAATTGGTTGAATTAATTTAGAATTTGTTTCGTTTTTTCGAATGTAAAATTTCAAATTTGTTTTCAAATTTTAATTAGTTTTTTGGAATGTTTTAGAATTCGAATCGATCTGAATTTCGGCCAAATTTCAGTTCGTTATTTCAGATTCGTTCAAATTCGTTACTATTGTAATTTGGAATTTGGATACATCCGAATCTCCAAATAACAGAAAATTCTTTCAAATTTCGATTTGGAACTAAACAGACTGCACATGTCTACACACAACTAAAAGGGAGTGGCTGCCCAGGCATACCTCTGTGAAGTGATTAGTCCCTGCAGGTAAAGTCCATTTCTGGTGATCCTCCAGAACTCCCTGTGTCTGTAGCTGACTGCAAGGCACAGCAGTCCCTCCTCCAACTCAGATCTAGGCAGGAAAGAGCTCTCTGAACCTCAGTCTTCCCCCTTTTTATACCACAGGTGGGCTGGCTGAGACCCAACAGCCCAAGAACCAAGAATGGGCAGTTTAACCCCTTCCTCCCCCAGCCTAGGCCAACTGGTAACTTACTAAGCAGTGTCCAACCTGCCTACAAACCCTTACCCTCACTCTTACCCTCACCTCAAATCCTAAACCTAATCATTACTGTCAATTCAAGCCCTAAACCTAACCATTACCGTCACTTCAAACCCTAAATCTAACCATTACCATCGGTTCAAACCCTAAACCTAACCACTACCGTCACTTCAAACCCTAAAACTAGCCATTACCCTGACCTAAAACCCTAAACCTAACCCTTACTGTCACTTCAAACTCTAAACCTAACCATTACCCTCACCTCAAACCCTAAACGTAATCATTACTGTCAATTCAAGCCCTAAACCTAACCATTACCATCACTTCAAACCCTAAACTTCAAACCCTAAACCTAACCATTACCCTCGCCTCAAACCCTAAACCTAACTATTAAAGTCACTTCAAACCCTAAACCTAACCCTTACCCTCACTCCAAACACTAAAGCTAACCTTCAGTCCAAAACACAAAAGCTAACCCTTACCCTCGCTTCAAACTCTAAACCTAACTTTATCCCTCACCCTCACTCCAAACCCTAAACTTAACCACTTCAAACCATGAATTTATCCCTTACCCTTACTTTAAACCCAACCCTTACCTTCACTCCAAACCCTAAAACTAACCCTTAGCCTCACTTCAAACCCTAAACCTAACACTTATTCCAAACCCTAATCCCTAACTTGCAGTCCAAACCTTAAAAATCTAAACCTTACCTTAATTTTAGACTCTAAATGTAACCCTTAATCTCACTTCATGCCCTAAAACCTAACCATTACCCTCACGTAATCCCTAAACCTAACCATTACCCTCACGTAATCCCTAAACCTAACCATTACCCTCACGTAAATCCCTAAACCTAACCATTACCCTCACGTTAATCCCTAAACCTAACCATTACCCTCACGTTAATCCCTAAATCTAACCATTACCCTCACGTTAATCCCTAAACCTAACCATTACCCTCACGTTAAATCCCTAAACCTAACCATTACCCTCACGTTAATCCCTAAACCTAACCATTACCCTCACTTAAATCCCTAAATCTAACCATTACCCTCACATTAATCCTTAAACCTAATCATTACCCTCACTTAAATCCCTAAATCTAACCATTACCCTCATGTAATCCCTAAACCTAACTATTACCCTCACGTAATCCCTAAATCTAACCGTTAACCTCAAATTAAACCCTAAACCTAACCATTACCCTCACGTAAACCATTACCCTCACGTAATCCCTAAATCTAACCATTACCCTCACATTAATCCCTAAACCTAACCATTACCCTCACGTAATCCCTAAATCTAACCGTTAACCTCAAATTAAACCCTAAACCTAACCATTACCCTCACGTAAATCCCTAAATCTAACCGTTAACCTCAAATTAAACCCTAAACCTAACCATTACCCTCACGTAATCCCTAAATCTAACCATTAACCTCAAATTAATCCCTAAACCTAACCAGTAGCCTCAGGCTAATCCCTAAATCTAATTTTTAACTTTTGTCTAATTCCAAAAATGAACTATAATAGTATCTGAGGCCAAAATGTCAAGTTCTCATTGCAGACATTTCCCTTCCTGTAGTCTTTTAGTCACAATAGGAAGTGAAAGGAAATCTCTCCAAAGCAGGAACATCCCTAGACCAGTGTCACCACAACAAGATTCCCCCTCTATTTCTGTTCTGGTGTCCACAGGGCAAAGAAGAGAGTGAATCTTTTTTCCTTCTATTTTCAACTGGTGACCTAGCCACTAAAAATTTCCTGTTGTTCACAAACGGCACCCTATCCAGTGGTAGATTTAGGTTTTGTGCTGCCCTAGGCAACACAAGATTTGCCCCCCCCCCCCCCAGGAGAGAGCCTGATATTGACCAACAACACCCCTGCCCCCCTCCATCCGAGAGAGCGAGCCTTCCACTACCATCAACCCCATACACCGACCACTTCACTCCCAGCGAGAGAAAGAAAGACACTCACCTTCACAGCTCTGGACACCCCTGGGAACAATAGTCCAGCAGCCCACAGCGTCTCTCAGATCCCACCTGGTCCCCAAGCCATATTTGTCCCCTCTTCCATCCCTTCTTCCCTTGAAAAATGCCACCCTAGGCAAATGCTTTGTTTGCCTTGTGGTAAATATGCCCCTGACCCTATCTATGGGGGAACAGTGTTTTCACCCTAGGACAGGTAGTGTGTCAGGACTAAGGATCATCTACCTCATCCGCTCTTCATACTACAGAGGGAAGTCTTCGGCAGTCTACAGAGAAGACTAGGAGCTGTGCTAATAGATAACAGACAGCAGAAGCAAGGAGCACAGGAAGTTATCAGGTTACTGGAATTCTGGAAGGATCAACAGGTATTTTTGGCACTTATTGAACAGATATAACAACATACTCATAACTGGTATATTTTACAGATCAAAAGGCAGCAAATAAGAGAAGTTCTCAGGGTCTACATACCCTAACTCCTATATTTAATTATTATTATTAAAGATCCTGAGGTGAGCAGCCAGTGTACCTGTCAGGGCTCCGGGTATGACCAAGGTATGTGAACTGACGCAGGGAAACGCAGGCTTCAGATATGTTATAAACAATATAATTTATTAATACTAACAATACAAAACGCAGTGCAATACTAAAACATAACACAGTGCAAACGAACCAAACCAAACCACCCACAGATAACAATACATACAATGCAAGCGTAGTCAGGCAGGCCGGGTCAATAACAATCGGGCAGGTAGGAACAGGAGGAGCAGGCAGAGAGTAGTCAGGTCACGAGCCGGGTACAGCAACTAACGGGCAGGTAGGTACAGGGGGTCAGGCAGAGAATGGTTGGGGTCACAAGCCAGGAATCAAACAGGAGAAGTCAGCAGAGGTCAGGATCAGGCAGGGTTGGCAACGAGTCAGTCAGGCAGGAACAGAAACATTAACAGGAATGCAGGTAACAAGATACAGGGGCCCAGAAAAAACACACACCAAGGAACAGACTGCAGGTCTGGCCATCCCTTAAATACACCTCCGTAATCAGCTTCAGGTGTTTGGCTGACTACAGGGTTGAGTCTCTGATTGCTGAGAGCACCCACTGGCCAGCCCTGGTACTGCAGCCCACAAGGCAGGTGAGTCCCACCATTACTGGCAGGTCCATTCCTGACAGTACCTAATTCAGTCATTATTTCACCCAACAATTTTCCCCAGATAAGGAAGATAAATCCTGTCAATAATAACCTACCATATGAGATGGGCTCAAACTGCTTCGAATGTGTCGGCTGGTGGAGGCCATCAGCTCATGTAACTTTGGGTCTTTGTAATCAAAATGTTCCCCAAACAGCACAGAACTGATAATATTCCCAACTGCGCAGGCCAGGAAACTGTAAGGGGTTAAATGGTTTTCCTGAAAAAAAAATATTTGGGTAACGTTTAGAATTCATAAAAGAAAAAAATACCCCCCACAGCCCACTAGACCCTATACTCTGTAATAAAGTTCACCCCGGGTCTAACTCCCAATCAGGGGTGGACTGACAACTCATGGGGCCCCCGGGCAATAGGGGATCATGGGGCCCCTGTGTCCTCGCCCACACCCAAAAAAGCCAATGAAAGGTACCAGGGGCATCTCAGGGGGCCCCCTACTGACCTCTGGCCCTTGGGCAGTGCCCGAGTGATCAAATGGTCAGTCCGCCCCTGCTCCCAATACATTTGATTGGTGGACTAACAATGGTCTTTTACGTATAGTTGATCTCTGTGATCACACAGGACCAGGGAGAACGCGCCGCAAGTCACGGCATTGCATGACCCTCTGCCTTCTCAAGCAGAGACTGTCTGCCTTAGAAGGGAGGGCCGTGGGTGAGAGGAATTCTGTTGAAACAAACTCTAACAGAGAAGCATCAAATGTTATAGATATGCTCAGATATCAAATTTTTTTTAAAAGCTTTGTCTTATGGATCTGATCTTGCATCCATGTCCTCCATGGAACATTTAAGTCACATAATTTATCACATTTGTGATGGTACCTCAGCAATTTATGCTATTTTAACTAATGCTATGGTAAAATTAGGCCACGTGCAGAAATGGGAAGAAAGTCTCCAGGAAACTTTTGAGCTGGACGAATGGCACTCGTTAGCCCAAGGGGCCTCAAGGTCTATCGTGAATACTTCCATCATTGAAGCCAATTATAAAGTGCTACTTAGGTGGTATATGGTACCAGCTAGATTGGCCACCCATGTCCCGGGTGTGTCTCTCTTATGCTTCAGAGGTTGTGGCCAGGAAGGTACAGCATACCACATATGGTGGGGATGTCCCAAAATTGAGGCGCTTTTGGATTAGAGTGTATAACTTCATATACACCCTCACCCAAGTAAACCTGGCCAAGTCTCCAAAGCATGCCTTGCTGGGATGCAAGGTGGAGGAAGCCTTCAAACATCAAAGAAGGCTTATTGCCTTTATATCTCAGCAAACGTTACTACTGCCAGAAACTGGAAGTCAGCTATCATACCTTTTGACCAGCTCAAACACAAACTTTCCTGGATAATGATAAAAGAGTGGTTGTCAACAATCCTGAATGATAGAATGAAAGTCTTCAAAAAGGTGTGGGACCCGTGGGTTAGATACTTAATGAACGGTCCTCAGGTTTTCAAATTAATCAAATAAACAGCGCAATACCCAACAAATGATACATAAAAATATTAGTATAAAAATTGAAAAGTTAAGAGGGGGTGTAGGATCTCTAAAAGTCCTAAAAGGCTTACTATTCGCCAACATCTGGTGAGTGCGATTAATGTTGGTTTCTCACTGGTGGATGGTGGAAGCACTTATTACAGAAGGATAATCACATTATAAATTTATTCGTTTTTGGTGAAGCACTTTGAAGTTGAAGAAAAAGGTTAAAGTTTCATAATGTTATATATATATATTTTAATGATTTTTGATATTTTGATGGACACATTAATTTTGGACACTTTAAATCACATTATGAGTTTTTTATTTTATTTGGATATTATGTGAAATCTATTATATAATTTTTTTTGTTTGTTGGACACATTTATTTTGGACACTTTTAAATTTTTATACTAATATTTTTCCTTTTATGTATCATTTGTTGGGTATTGCGCTGTTTGAATAATTTGATTATTTAGTGTTTACACTAGTGCACAGCAGCGTCTTATAATTTTTAGTGGGAGGGGTTTGTTCTGTGGCGCAGGATATATATTTATAGACCCTCAGGTTTTGCCCGATAAAGAAATCCTGAAGAAGGATTGTGCCAGAGCGTGGAGTCCCTTATCTATCCCCTCCTCCTTTATCTCTCATTACTTCTTCCTTCTAGGCACTCTGGCCTTTTCTTCATTCATAAAGCTGTATTACAACAAACTCACGGATAATGTTTACTACAGTACAATTTATGGTATGTTCCCTAAATTTGGGGAAAGGTAGCCCGACGTGATTGGGCTGTTTGGCCTATATTTCACCTACTTGGTTAATTCCTATTTTGTTTATAAGGTTATCTATATTAAATTTTATGGAGTTATTTACCTCATTGTTGGGTAATTGCCCTAAGGCAGGGGTCTCCAAACTATGGTGTTGAGGAACTGCAAGTCCCATGAGGCCTTGCAAGACTGACAGCCACAGGCAAGACTCCCAGAGGCAAGGGCATGATGTAGTACTTCAACAGCTGGAGGGCCATAGTTGGGAGACCCCTGCCCTAAGGTATAGGTAGCCTGGTATTTACCAGGATCATGATAGTGATGAGTAATGACCATGTTATGGGGGCTCCCTTCATGCCCAACAAGTATTACTGATATCCACATAACCAGTGGAACATGCCCTTTGTTTTGCTCAGATAAGCAAAAAAGTTTATTTGCCATTATGCCAACTGTCTATTTTATGTGGCGTGTGAAGTGTTATGTTATAATGCTCTTTGTAACCCTTTTTTACACCATTTTATTGTGGGGAAAAAAATGTCAACAAAAATATTGCAAACAAACAAAATATATAAATTCTTGATATATTTTAAAAGTATGAGTTTACAAAAATACATATTTTTAACTAGCAGTAAACAACAATTTTAATTCCATGGGAATAATTTTGATGCTTGATGAAAAGGATACTGTAAAACGCTAAACAACATACGGGTGCGTCACTCAGCTTTAAGTGGTTATACCGGGATGATGCCTGCAGATGCAGTCCTCATCCTGGAATTGTTTTTTTTTTTTCAGGCAGTGGTCGGATTTCTTGGAAATGCAATCGTAGTGGCTAACTTGAAGGGGATGTCCCCTCCCGCCACCTTCCACAGCTGTCCTATGCTCTCCCACCAGGAGACCCAAGGGCGCACCTGGCAGTTCCATTGGCTGACCATAGAGCTAATCGGGGACCGGAATGGCCCCCGATTATCTCTATGGTCTGAGAAACTGTAAACAATGAGTATTTTGTTACATCCGATTTCACTGGATGTCAACAAACTACTGGAGGTTTGAAAAAAGCATTGGATCATACCAATATTGGTTTGATCCGAAGCTTTTAAGGGCAGAGGAGAGATCAGTTGCAGGTACTATCCCGTTATTGTTGTTTTTAGCCAGTGGTCGGCTTTCTTGTAAATTAAATTCATGCGGCTAACTGGGGTGGGGGGATGTCCCCTCCCTCCACCTTCCACAGTCATCCTATGCTCTCCTGTCCCACCAGGAGACCCAAGGGCGCACCTGACAATTCCATTGGCTGACCATAGAGCTAATCAGGGACCGGAATGGCCCCGATTATCTCTATGGTCTGAGAAACTGGAAACAATGAGTATTTTGTTACATCCGGATTTCACTGGATGTCAAAAAACTACTGGAGGTTTGAAGCAAGCATTGGATCATATCGATATTGGTCTGATCCGAAGCTTTTAAGGACAGAGGAGAGATCAGCTTCAGGCACCATCCCGGTATTGTTTTTTAGCCAGCGGTTGGCTTTCAGTAAGTGAAATTCATGTGGCTAACCGGGGTGGGGGGGGGATGTTCCCTACCACCACCTTCCACGGCTGTCCCAGGCTCTCCCATCCCACTGGGAGACCCTAGTGCACAGCCAGCGGTTCTACTGGTTGACCATAGAGTTAATCGGTGACCAGAATGGCCCCGATCATCTTGATGGTCTGAGAAAGCAGAAGTGACGAGTATTTCATCACCTCCAGTTTCACTGGACATCAACAAACCACTGGAGGTTTGAAAAAAGCATCGGGTCATACCAATCTTGGTTTGAGCCAAAGATTTTAAGGGCAGAGGAGAGATCTCCCAATAAAGAGGACCTGTCACTTCCTATTATTATCACAAGGGATATTTTTATTCCATGTGATAACAACAAAAGTGATCAAAAAATGTAAACGGACATTGTAAAAAAAAAAAAAAATGTTAAGCTCCCCCACATGCTCGCAGGCAAAGGGGAACGCGCACATCGATCCTGCGTCGATTGCACCACACATGTGAGGTACCACCATGAATATCAGTTCGAGAGCAATAATTCTAGCCCCAGACCTTCTGTGTAAATCAAAGTGGTAATCTGTAAAGGCATTTAAAGCATCACCTATATATATATAATAAACTGTATGTAATTTGCCACCATTGCACTGTTATGTGGAATATTAATAATAATTAATAATAAATATTAAAGCGTGACACGTTTGGTATCTATTTACTCGGCATAACATCATCTTTTTTTATTTTACCAAACAATTGGGTATTATATTGTCTTTTTGTGCATTACAATTCATTAAATTATACATTTTCTGAAAAAAATTGCATTTGAAAAACCGCGTGACCATGTGACGAAAAAAATTGCAACACCCACCTTTTTATTCTCCAGGGCCTCTGTGCCTAAATATATAAATGTTTGGGGGTTTTAAGTAATTTTCTAGCAAAAAAATACTGATTTTTTTTACAAAAATTTTGGCATTTGAAAATTGGCTTGGTTGCTTCTGATGCAGTTTTGTTGCCTGAATGTCCAGCACCCAAATTTACAGGAAGTGAAATATTTTGTATGTGTTTATATATTTGACTCCCAAAAGTAGTTACTGCCACTTATTGAACCTTGACCAAAACCCTGCCACTGCCAGATCCTTTTTCTAAATGCACACAGCAAAATGCACATTTTTTTAAGTCCGAAGATTACGTAAAACCCCCAAATTGTATATTTTCTGAAAGTAATATAAAATAGTGGTAGTAGCACAGATGTGCAAAATTTTTGGTGAACGCACATCAATTCCCTTTTTGCTACTAACCATAAATGGAATGTTGGCGAATGTTAGTACTCTGGATTTTCATGTTGACTCAATGTTGATTTTTCTCAATAAACTCAATAAAAGTGATTGAATACAAAATGATGTTTTTATGTCATGTGATATACGAACCGCTGTTTATCAAAGCTCTATTTTCAGTAAAAAATAGGGTCAAGTTCCTTTTGTAATGCACACATAATACATGACTGCTTGATGAAATAAAAAGATCAGGTTGTATCAAGTAAATAGATACCAAACATGCCTTAGTCTTAAGACTGAGTACACTTGTGACTTGGAGGAAAAACTAGAGAACCCAAAGTTATCCATAGGTGACACTTTAACCACTTTCCTGCCACCCCTATAGCAGAAATACTGCTACGGGGAGGCAAAAAATCACGTATATATACGTGATATTGCATTTCTTAGTAGGTGGCGCATGTGAGTTGCATACGCACACATACTACCAGGAAGAGGAGGAGGAGGAGGATGTCTTTGCACGGAAATTGATGACAGATGCACATATTTTTCATTATCCAAAGGAGGGTTCACAGAAGAACACTTTATTCATTGAACTTGAGTTTTTGAATGACTTTTGTTTGATTCATACCTAAAAAATACTTTTTGATTTTTTTTTCTATTGAACTTGAGTTTTTGAATGACTTTTGTTTGATTCATACCTAAAAAATACTTTTTGATTTTTTTTTGAGTGGTCCTTGTTTATATATATATATAGTTTTATTTAATTAATATTTTTATTCAATAATTTTTATTTCATTATTTAATTTTTCACATTGCTTTTTGATATATAGGAATTGTGCAATTGTTTCATGTAGCACAGCATTTTTTTTTCACTTCATAATATGATAATGAATGCAGGGTCCGGGGAGACCAGATATAGTGAATGCAGGGTCCGGGGAGACCAGATATAGTGAATGCAGGGTCCGGGGAGAGCGGATATAGTGAATGCAGGGTCCGGGGAGAGCGGATATAGTGAGTGCAGGGTCCGGGGAGACCGGATATAGTGAATGCAGGGTCCGGGGAGACCGGATATAGTGAATGCAGGGTCCGGGGACAGCAGATATAGTGAATGCAGGGTCCGGGGACAGCAGATATAGTGAATGCAAGGTCCTAGGAAACCAGATATGGTGAATGCAGGGTCCGAGGAGACCGGATATGGTGAATGCAGGGTCCGGGGAGAGCGGATATAGTGAATGCAGGGTCCTGGGAGAGCGGATATAGTGAATGCAGGGTCCTGGGAGAGTGGATATCGTGAATGCAGGGTCCGGGGGAGACCAGATATAGTGAATGCAGGGTCCGGGGAGAGCAGATATAGTGAATGCAGGGTCCGGGGAGAGCAGATATAGTGAATGCGGGGTCCGGGGAGAGCGGATATAGTGAATGCAGAGTCCGGGAGACCAGATATAGTGAATGCAAGATCCGGGGAGACCAGATATAGTGAATGCAGGGTCCTGGGAGACCAGATATTGTGAATGCAGAGTCAGGGGGAGAGCGGATATAGTGAATGCAGGGTCCTGGGAGACCAGATATTGTGAATGCAGGGTCAGGGGAGACCAGATATAGTGAATGCAGGGTCCTGGGAGACCAGATATAGTGAATGAAGAGTCTGGGGGGAGCAGATATAGTGAATGCAGGGTCCATGGGGAGACCAGATATTGTGAATGTAGGGTCTGGGGAGAGTGGATATAGTGAATGCAGGGTCCTGGGAGACCAGATATAGAGAATACAGGGTCTGGAGAGAGCGGATATAGTGAATGCAGGGTCTGGGGGAGAGCAGATATAGTGACTGCAGGGTCCAGGGAGAGCGGATATAGTGAATGCAGGGTCTGGGGAGAGCGGATATAGTGAATGCAGGGTCCTGGGAAGAGAAGATATAGTGAATGCAGGGTCCAGGGAGAGCAGATATAGTGAATGTAGGGTCCAGGGAGCGCGGATATAGTGAATGCAGACCCGGAAAGAGCAGATATAGCGAATGCCGGGGAGGCCAGATATAGTGAATGCAGGGTCCGGGGAGATCGGAAATAGTGAATGCAGGGTCTGGGGAGAGCGGATATAGTGAATGCGGGGTCCAGGGAGAGCGGATATAGTGAATGCAGGGTCCGGGGAGAGCGGATATAGTGAATTCGGGGTCTGGGGAGAGTGGATATAGTGAATGCAGGGTCCAGGGAGACCGGATATAGTGAATACAGGGTCCGGGATATCATGAATGCAGGGCCCGGAGAGACCGGATATAGTGAATTCAGGGTTCAGGGAGAGCGGATAGAGTGAATGCAGGGTCCGGGAAGCCCGGATATAGTGAATGCAGGGTCCGAGGAGACCAGATATAGTGAATGCGGGGTCCAGGTAGACCAGATATAGTGAATGCAGGGTCCAGGGAGTGCGGATATAGTGAATGCAGGGTACGGGGAGACCAGATATAGTGAATGCAGGGTCCAAGGAGAGCGGATATAGTGAATGCAGGGTCCAGGGAGAGCGGATATAGTGAATGCAGGGTCCAGGGAGAGCCGATATAGTGAATGCAGAGTCCAGGGTTTAGTAACACTTTAATTAAGTCTAGGTTCACACCTATTTGTTTTCCGTTGCATTTTGCAGAAATGCACAGCAGTCCATTGAACATGATTTTCTATGGGACACGTTCACATCTCTGTATTTTCTCGTGCTGCATTTTTTTTAAAGTTTCAGGGACTTTTTTAACCCCTTTGCACACAAATGTGTGGCCTCACGGCGTCTGGGCCTAGATGAAAATTAAGTTAATTCCTTCCCACCTTCTGTCTCAGCCACCACCTGGATGAGATAAGTTGCTTTCCTCCAGTACGCGGGATTCCATGGTCTTCTTCCCCATCCCAAAGTTCCTCAGTGAGGAGATGGTGAAGCGGCGAAGAGGACGCCATCGGGGTCCATTAATATCTGAGGAAGAAAATTATTGGTGAATTGGCTATAATGAACACACCAACCATAAGGCCCTTACATGACTAAGTAGAGTGTGGGGAGCCATAGTAAAATCTCATTGTGACACGCCCCCTAATCTTGAATATTGTGTGGTTGATTTACCAAAGGTTATATACTTGAAAAAAAAAAAGGGGGTGCGCCGTCCCTTAAAAATTTTAAAGTGCAATTGTGCATTCACTATAACTATATCAAACCATATTATTATAGAGAAAAAAGATGATGTGAGCTCAATATATGCAATAACCTAAATAAATATAAAGACAATATCACAAATAAGGTGGTGCCAAAACACCATACATTAAAAAAAAAATAAAATAGAGACAGCGCACCCCCATTTTTTCAAGTAGCTGTTTTACATCTAGTATCAAGATTGTGTAGTGGATGCAGCAGTCTTTATTCTCTGTTTTTGCTAGCGCAAGGAGATTATTTGGTTTGTTTTTTTATAAATAAAATATACTTTCCATCCTATGTGGCATATATGATGTCTGTGGCAGCCCATTAACAGTAGTTGTCGGTGGTGTATTTAGGTTTTGTGCTGCCCTGGGCAACAAAAAAATTGGCGCCCCCTCCCACAGAAAAAGCCTGACATTGACCAAGAACACCCCTGCCCTCCAGCCGAACCTTCCACTACCACTGCCCCCCCATACACCAGCCACCATCCCCCCTGGCGAGAGAAAAAGACACTCACCTTCACAGCTCCGGACATCCCCAGAAACGAGAGTCGGGCTGTGCATACACCATCATGAAACCCACAGCATCTCTAGGAACCCACCAGGTCCCCATGCCACATGTGTCCCTTCTTCTGGCTCTTCTTCCAAGGGGCAGTGCTGCCCCCCTGAAAAATTCCGCCCGAGGCAAATGCCTTGTTTGCCTTGTGGTAAATACCCCCCCGGTAGTAGTTTGTGGGTGTTGGCTTTAATGTTACATCATACAGTCCCCAGTAGCTCTCCAGTCTTTTTCAGCATCGACTGGCCTTGCCACCTGTCGCTGCTCTAAGCTTTGATGAGTGGATGAATTTTGCTGTTGGTAAACTTTTTTTTTAGCAAAGAACCTTGAGAATGAAATGGCGATCATTGCAATTTTTTTATGTCACATGGTATTTGCGCAGAATTAATTTTGTGGAAAAAATAAATTTTAATGAATTGAAAAAAACAATACACAATATATACACCCAATTTGTTGTAACATATGAAAGATGATGTTACAGCGAGTAAATAGATACCTAACATGTCACGCTTTAAAAATTGTGCATGCACATGGAATGGTGACAAATTGTGGTACTTAAAAATCTCCATAAGCAACACCTTGAAAAGTTTAGAGTTACAGAAGAGGTCTAGTGCTAAAATTATAGCTCTCCCTCTAATGTTCATGGCATCATGTCATATGTGTGCAAACACTGTTTACTTATGCGTGTGCAACTTATGTATGCATTCACTTCTGCACATGAGCACAGAGGGATGGGGCTTTCAAATTTCTTTTTATTAGTTTTTTTTTATTTTACACTATCTCTTTATTTTTATTTATCACCTTTATTTCTATTACAAAAAGACCCCAAATGTCCCCTTTACCTTTAAAAGCAAAAGACTGAAAATAGTTTTTTTGCTAAAAAAAAAAATAAAATATTATATATATATACACATACACATACAGTCAGGTCCATAAATATTAGGACATGGACACAATTCTAACATTTTTGGCTCTATTCACCACCACAATGGATTTGAAATGAAACGAACAAGATGTGCTTTAACTGCAGACTGTCAGCTTTAATTTGAGGGTATTTACATCCAAATCAGGTGAACGGTGTAGGAATTACAACAGTTTGCATATGTGCCTCCCACTTGTTAAGGGACCAAAAGTAATGGGACAGAATAATAATCATAAATCAAACTTTCACTTTTTAATACTTGGTTGCAAATCCTTTGCAGTCAATTACAGCCTGAAGTCTGGAACGCATAGACATCACCAGACGCTGGGTTTCAGCTTAATGTCTACAACAGTGGTCTCCAAACTGCAGCCCACTGGCCAGACGTGGCCCTTTGCCTACCTTTATCCGGTCCTTTGGGCACTATTCCTTCCACTGATACGAGGGACTATTCCTTCCACTGACACCAATGATGGAGCACAATTCCTTCCACTGATACCAACAATGGGACACTATTCCTCCCACTGACACTAGAGATGGGGAACTGATTCTCCCACTGACATCCATGATGTAATTTTATTACCCCCCCTCCCTCGACCACCAAGCCTATGGCATTGTGTAGTCTTACTGATGCTGGAGCATTTTCCAATCCCACTGGACACAGTTCAGCCCCCTAAAGTTTGCAGGGCAGCAAAGTGGCCCTTTGTTTCAAATGTTTGGAGACCCCTGGTCTACACAAATAGAGCTCTCCTGCCTGTTCGCTTGTTGTTTTTTTCCTGTTTCCTCTTACCTCCTCATCCTGAAAGCTCAGCAGTTCCCAGATGTAAATCCTTCTTGGCTTCTTCATCACAGATGTTCAACAGAGATCATACACTGCTACAACCTCTCACCATGTGACTTGCTGAGGGAAAACTGAGGAAATGCTTCCTCCTACCTGCAGCAGACTGATGACATCATCTCAGCCTAGGCAAAGTCAACAGACTGGAGCTCAAGGATGACTTATTATTGATAAAGGGTGGAGCTTTCCTGAAAAATGATACTATGGCTGTATATGGTAACATGTCAGGAATTTAATTGTGCAAACTTGTACTGTTATGGACAGGTCCCCTTTAATTCTATTTTATTTGTAACACTTTTTTACAGCAGCATCAGAGATGACAGGCCATGTAAATAATAAAAATACTAATTCCATAAGTAATGACTGGACAGTCCATTTTCAGGAGCGACCGGTTTCAAGCAGACCATGAGTTGTATATAACCCTATAATGCAGCCTCTCTCAACCTTTTTAGCACGGGGGGCCCTTGAAATAGCAGGGGTTCCCTGAGCCTAGAAAGTTAATAGTTTCTATATAAAACGTTCACAGTACATTACTGAGTTCTCCTTACATTTGTGGTCATTAGGAAGATCTCCTCCCAGATAGCTAATAAGATCAGTGGTTATTAGATAGTGGTTACTGAAGTGTTCCGACAATCTTACCATATCCTTTGCTGGGGATGTGCAGTGTGGGGATAAATGGACGAGCACTAAATTCCTCAGCATGGTTCAGCAGGGCGTCCCTCACCGCCTCATAACCGCAGAGGACCACCACCGGCTCCGTCAATTTCCAGATAGTGAAGATTGAGCCATATTTTTTGCTGAGCTGTAGGTAAAGAGAAGCAGAAAGTCAATTCACTGATAGGAATTTTCCTGCTGTTGTGAGAGAAGGAACCTGAAAACCAGAGAGGCAAAACAGAAGAGCTCTTCGAGGTTTTCTTGGGTGACCCAAAAGTTTGGATCTTGTAAGCAGAGATAAACAAACGTATGAAAAATTTGATCAGTTGTAGTTCTACCAAGAACCTTTTGAAAAACTCAAGAACCTTTGAACTTCAAAGTTCCATGTAAGTCAACTGGAAGTCAAATCAGGTTTCAAAAAGTGTGTATTACAGAGCAACGAATGAGGAGACCATGGAGAGAAGCTTTCGGAACCATTCCAAGCTGGTAGGGAAAGAAAGGGTCACCCCACCGGCATAGGAAGGAGGGAGAAGCATCTTAAAGGAGTACCAGTGACTACAGTATTCAGAAAGGATGGACGTGGCTCATACCAACCCAAAGAGTCAGATGTGTAGAGGATGGCCTCAGCCGCCGCTCTGATTATGCCCTCTGTGATCAAGCCCCAGTGGGTGGGGCAAAATGTGTCAGAGGGTGTGGCTGGAGCAGCAGCTGAGGCCATCCTCTACATATCTGACTCTTTGGGTTGGTATGAGTGGCTGTCAGGGACCATCGCGACGCATGGGTCTGCACATGCGTAGGTGTCTGTCAAGACATGCAGGCAGCAGGGCACTAGGACCCAGGCGCACCCGTCGTCTATGACAGTGCTGGGCAGGCACTAGGACCTAGGCTGCGCCTGTCAGGTGCAGGGCGGGCTACTTAAACCAGCCCTGCACAGACACTTGTTGCCGAATGGTCTTTCTGCGATTCCTGTTATCTGATACCTGTGTTGTGAGTACTATTGATCCGGATTGTCTGACCTTGCTGCCTTCTCCTATCCTGACCCCCTGGCTTGCCTGACTTCGCTCCTGGATGTTCCCCTTTAGATGTGATCTCCTGTTATTGACCTGGCATGTGACCCGACCATTCTTTGCCTACTGTTTTGTACCGCACCGACCCCCGGGCTACCGACTCGGCTTGTTTGACTTAGCTTTCGCTCCTCCATCCATCCATCCCTCCAGGACCCCCTGGTCCCCTCACATCAGACTCTCACCCTGCGGGAGCCCCTGGCGGACTCCTCTACCACTGGTGGGTATATCCAGTAGTCGCGACCTGGTCTCGGAGCGCTCCAAGTCCATCCCCACCATCAGGGGCTCTGGTGAACAAGTGCTCCGGAACTTAGACTCCGCGCTCTGGGGAAGCCCGACCAGTGGGTTGCTAGAGGTGCTGTCAGGTGGTCCCTTACAGTGGTGTCCGTCCTTTTTGAATAAAAGAGCAACAAATGCTTTGGGGTTGTGCAGAATGGTTTGGGAAGCTCCTGGAAGCCCTGTCTGATGAGATGATGGGACCAAAGGGCAGAATGAGTTACTTCCATTCAAAATTCTACCAGGAATACTAAGCTAGAACAGTGGAACCCGATGGCATCGGCAGTCAAGCTCAGGGGCCCCGGCAACAGTGAAAGCAGCCGCAAGACAGATGTTGGAGCAGACACTGTTCATGTTCTAACAGAAGCCTTTTGGGAAACTGAACAGATGAAATTAACAATGAAATTTGAGTTTGGATTTGGAAATCTGTGAAATGTGCTCCAAATCCAACATCACCTAAAATTCAGGATCAACTCTACTTGTGAGATGTGGTATCAACGTGATGTAAAGAATTTGTAAAGTTCAGAATTTAATGTCTAAATACAAACATCCTCACATGGGTGAGCTATAGATACCTTGGTAAACATCAGTATACAAAGATCAGATTGAATATTTCAGCCCAATGTTCCTAGCTGGCAGCCTCACATCTTCACAAATAAACTCGCTGATCTTTTTGCTTGTTTTCACTACATTTTGAAATGGCAAGAATCACCCAGGAATTTTATCAATTTCTGGAAATTTTTCTCTTTCTCAGTAAAACATTTGCGGTGTAGGATCCCCAAGAGGCTGAAAAAAAACGTTTATTGGTTTATCTACTTACCATTCAGCGACATACCCATACGTCGCTAGATGCTGGAATTTAGGTGCTTATACTGGGGTAATGCCTGCAACTGCAGTAAAGAGCTGTACAGAGAGGCCGAATGTCAGACGGTTCCTGCTGATCCAACCACTTCAGGCTGATTATCGGCCCATGTGTACCCAGCTTTAGTCTATACTCTGTACTGGGAGATATGCACTGAATCAGAGGAACAATGCAAAAAAGTCCCTGTGTGGCCATAGGCAGGGAGCAGAACCTCTATAGGTTGTGGGAACTCGCTTCAAATGGTAGAGCTTCTTCCAAGCACACAGCAACTCGCTTCTTTTTAAGGGCCTTTTTGCCCAATTTTATTTACAAGAAAGTTCAACAAAAATGCTTCCCACGCAGGGGTATCCACCATCAAGCAATACCAACCAAAGATTCAGCCTCCTGGCTTGTACACAGTTCACTGTCTGCCTCCTGCAGACTCTTCCCAAAATATGTCACTAGCACACAGCTAGTCTGGCTTCCACCTGACTCCAAGGCAGAGACCTCCCGTCTGCTGGGGTGGAGCCCTCCTGACTCCGTTTGCCGGGGTGGAGCCCTGCTGACTCCTAGCTGCCGGGGTGGAGCCCAGAACCCTGGTCCTGACTCTCTAAAAAAGGCTTGCACACACCTGTGCAATCAGTCTCCTGGCCATTTCCAAAACCTGGTCCCAGGATTGGAGATTTCATCCCTCCCAGATCTCTTTGAAATCTCCAAGCTCCAGATCCCCAAACAGACCTTACAAACAAAGGAGAGTGAAAAGCCACTTTCCTCCATATCAAACATTTACCCTGGAGCCCCTCAACCTGCCTTGTTGAGAATCCTGGGTGACTGATCACCACACTGTCACATATCCCCCCCCTTTGTTTTGATCCCGTAGGGGGCAGAACACACAACTTATACCTTCTGGCACTTCTTTGCCAGCTCTCATTTACAGGGGTCCAATCTGGTCTAACCATACTTTTCCTAAAGGGGAACTCTACCCAATGATTCCTTTGGTGTCTCTCCCCAAGCCCCATTGTCACTCTGCTATGAGCTCTAATCAGACCTTGCCTACTCTTTTTCCGGGTGCACTTCCATAAACACTTCCTCTCTTGAAATCCTAATGGGGTCCCCCTGGCCAATCTATCGACCTTTCTGCCCCTTTGCTTCAGGTTCCAAGGTTTCCTAATACCTCTCTCAATATTATTGTCCCAAGACTGTAGATGACCTAATTCTACTGTAATTGTACCGGGACCACCCGTCTTATTTCTGGTACCTTTGGATATCAAACCTGCATGACTCGTCACCATAATATGTCACTAGCACACAGCTAGTCTGGCTTCCACCTGACTCCAAGGCAGAGACCTCCCGTCTGCCGGGGTGGAGCCCTCCTGACTCCGTTTGCCGGGGTGGAGCCCTGCTGACTCCTAGCTGCCGGGGTGGAGGCCCAGAACCCTGGTCCTGACTCTCTGAAGAGGCTTGCACACACCTGTGCAATCAGTCTCCTGGCCATTTCCAAAACCTGGTCCCAGGATTGGAGATTTCATCCCTCCCAGATCTCTTTGAAATCTCCAAGCTCCAGATCCCCAAACAGACCTTACAAACAAAGGAGAGTGAAAAGCTACTTTCCTCCATATCAAACATTTACCCTGGAGCCCCTCAACCTGCCTTGTTGAGAATCCTGGGTGACTGATCACCACACTGTCACAAGGTATAGAAGCAAAAATGCTGTAAACATAAAATATGCTGCGCTAAAAGTTAGATAATAAATTCTAAAATACAGTAAACATGATATACATATGCAGATGCTTGGTGCAGAGACCAATGATGTGAAAATATGCTAGATATCCTGAAGACAAAGCAAAGTGTATATGGTGACAATGGTGCCAAAGTCAATCTATCCATAGGTGTTCCAAAATGATAAGAGAAATCCGTGACATCTGTGGTATAGAGAATGAATGTTGATTGCACTAACCAGATAGCGGTTGGAGTAAATAAGACCTACTCCTGGTCATAGGATCCAAGACACTGCAACATGAATGATCATCAGGTCAGCAACCTCGAGGTACTCTGTCATCTCCAGGTATTCTGTCATCAGCCACCAGAGGGATGTTACACGCTCTCTTAACCACTTGCCTACCAGGCACTTATACCCCCTTCCTTACCAGGCCAATTTTCAGCTTTCAGCGCTGCCGCACTTTGATTAACAATTGAGCGGTCATGCAACATTGTACCCATATGAAATTTTGATCATTTTTTTCTCACAAATAGAGCTTTCTTTTGGTGGTATTTAATCACCACTGGGCACTTTACTTTTTGCGCTATAAATAAAAAAGTGCAAAAAATTTGAAAAAAAAAAAAGTTTCTTTCTTTCTATTATAAAATTTTTCAAACAGGCATTTTTTCTCCTTCACTGATGTGCGTTGATGAGGCAGCACTGATGGGCACTGATAGGCGGCACTGATGGGCACTGATAGGCAGCACTAAAGGGCAGTACTAATGGGGTGGCACGGATAGGCGGCACTGATAGACAGCACTAATGAGGTGTCACGGATAGGCGGCACTAATATGCAGCACTGATAGGTGACACTGATGATGGGTACTGATAGACGGCACTGACTGGCATCACTGCTGGGCACTGACTGGCGGCACTGACTGGCACAACCCCTGGGCACTGACTGGTGGCACTGACTGGCAGCACTGCTGGGCTGCACTGGTGGGTGGCACTAATGGGCAGCACTGGTGGGTGGGCACAGGTGGGTGGCACAGGTGGGTGGCACTGGTGGGCACAGGTGGGTGGGCCAAGGTGGGTGGCACTGCTGGGCACATGTAGGTGGCACTTCTGGGCACAGGTAGGTGGCACTGCAGAGTGGCACAGGTGGGTGCACTGCTGGGCACAGGTGGGTGCACTGCTGGGCACAGGTGGGTGATCTGCTGGGCACAGGTGGGGGCGGAGCTAGTGGGCGCACTGCTGGGCACAGGTGGGCGTAATTT